CGAACGTCATCACTGTCCACTATAACGAGACCAAGCCACATTCCTAATCCCTGGTCCCTACTTCTCCCGTGTACCCCCGGATTCCCTTCCCCCCGTAACATGGACGGCGTAAATTTTTCCGTTAACCCCTCCTCGAACAGGCAGTTAAAAACACCGTCTCCCCTGAGAAGGGGCAATGTAAAGACAGTAGATGTTCTGTGTTATTTTATGCTTAATCCTTATTCCCTTTCAGAAAAACCAAAAGTGAAAGCCTTGACCGACCTGACGGAACCGAACATTTACAGTCAGGATCCTTGAACCCTTCTATGACTTTTACACGGGCTGGTTTATTGTCTGAGTATTAGTAAACATGTGTTCCGGCCAATCTTCGCCTTTTCATTGCCCCTCGTCTTGCGAGTTTATTTGATGTTCGCTTGTTGTCGTTACTCCCACCCACCTTCTCATTTTGGTTAGACTTTCGCTCTCCTCTCTTGTGTATCGGTCCACGTTACATAGGCGCTACATGAGGCTACACTCGTAATAGAAATAATGTTTGTGAAAAAATATTTCATGTCAGGATTTTTAGACTGATCTTCCTCCGTCTGATGTAAAGCCCGCACTGGAAGCACACTGTTAGCTTTCCCCAACGTCACCATGAAAAAACCTGAGTTACCAACTTTTTCTTATAAGTTCTGCGAATATTCCTATAAGTCGGCAGTACGAAACGTTATCTGATGGTCTTGCTTTGCGCTCTGCTGCACGTCCATACACGGCACGCAGAAAAAAGTCGGACGTTTAGGATCAGTGAACACTAAGTGAATGGAAAAATGAACGCTAAACAGTCATTGGTCGTCAGACCGTAAATGATCACTAAATAAACTGCTACTAGGGCACTGTGCATACTGTCACTGATAATCTGTAGATGTACGTCACAGTTCAATACTACCGGCGTTATTATCCTTCGGTTTTTATAACCACTTGCATCCAATACTTATCTTTCTATCTGGCTATGTTAAGGATAATCTGTTCGGCTAAGTCAGTGCTGTTGATAAAGGATAGGATTACACGTACGCTATTGCCGTCGACTTTCGTTAAAATCGTGATGCCCCGATAGATGGTTTGTAAAAAAATCACTCCCTCTGGCAACGTTTGCGCACAGCAAATACCTTTCACCGATGTAGGCTGATTGTAAAACGGGATGCGGGAGCGCCGGTTTAGTTCTGATCTCCAGTCCACGGTCTTTGCAGATGGTTGCAGTGACGAGCAAGCCAAAGCCATGGAAAATGAAATTTTCAGTCAGCCATACTTCCTCACTTAGGCAGGAAGGACTGGATTTGGAACCCGAGCACATGTGACCACTGAATCAGATGCTTGAGTCACTGGCCTACACTTTGTTGGCTGCATTTGAGCTCTGGACCACTCTCTACTCCACAAAGAGGCTACGCAGATGTCGCTACATGACCTTGAAGCTCCCCGATAGCGGTGGAGGAGTCAGGGGTCAGAGGCATTATAAGTAGCTTTTCACGATTGCAAAACTTGAGTCTTTCTAGCCTGATTTTGAGGGTTGTGAATTGCCGGCAACCTCAAATAGCCTTGAATTTACCGTTCCACCCTCCGTTACCCTGTTGGTAGTAATCCGCTAGG